AAGTAAAAATGAAGAAAAAAGAAATAGAAAAATAGCAATAATTCCAAATAATCTTTTAAGATGTGTTTGGTTTGAAGGAAAAAGTAGGGAAAGGAAGGCAAAAGCAGGGAAATCTATATAAGTTTTGTAAAGGTTTTCTTACGTTTCCTTTCCCTACATTTTCAATCAAACAAAACATAGCCTTAGAGTAAGAGGTCTCCAATAATCAGATCTTGATCCCAATGTGTTCAAATTTTTCGAGTTGGTAGTTATGTTTCCTTGTCCTTAGATAGTTGGATGTGCTGATTTAAACATTAATATATTCTTTTGTTTTTTGCATTAAAAATAATATAAAAATGTATAGCATTTTCATTAATGGTTAAAACCGGGACACTGTAAAATGTAAAAAGTATTTAATGGATGGGCCTGGGCTGTACTTTAAAGACCATGGATCAAGCTCAGTATATCTTGTTGATGCAATTTGTCGGGCAAGGTGGCAACATATAGCCATCACCATTCACGAATATGTTCATTCACTTGTTCGTATAAAGCTTGGTTTGCAGATATAATTGCTTCATTTTTTAGGCTTTCCACTCCACACACTTGGGTCTGTAAAAGGACGATGAATCCACAGTTTGTTAGCACGAGGGTTTCTATTCATGAGTAGTAGTAGTAGTAGTGTTCGATGAAAAACAACTTTGTTGTAGCCCGGGGAAATGTTTAGCTCGATGAAAAATTACATAGTACGTTTGAAAAGGTCCATTAGTTGCTCTATACTGAAAACAAACAGAACCTTTAGTTGCTCTTTCTCACCTAGAGAATTCCAATATAAGAGGATCAGTCTGCATTTGCAACCTCAGCTGGCTCATACATTTTGTCATATATATGCAGTCTGATATATAGGACATCGATCCCACTGCAATATTATCTAATCTAACAACCTCCAGGCTCCAAATGTCACAGCAAAGAAAGAGGGAGATTTGAAGTGGCCAAAATGCCATCAATGATTGAGTGTTTTGAAGGTAGTCGATCTCTAATAATCACCAATGACCAATCCTCAATCAAATGCCACTGCCCATACCGCACTCTGCAAATGCTGCTGAGGATGCAAACTTTTTAAGCCAGTAGTACGACCCATCCATCTTGTAGGTCCCAGTAGAAAAGTTGGGGAGATATGGATTAACTTGGGAATGAAGACTCCTCCCTGACCAGTTCCTCATCTTTTTGGGAGTTGGGAGTGCCAAGCGTACAATATAGTAGGAGAGAACAAGAAAAGATGCAGTACTGATTGGATACGATCAATCCGAATCATCCGAACCAAGTTGATTTGCTTGTAATAAAAGCTGGCCCAAATGGGTATGGGTTCCACCCGGGCAACAACTGATCCTTAACTCAGGTTAACAAGTTCATGCTCCTATTCATTTGAAACTGGGGATGTATGTTGTCAATGGACCTTCAAATTTGTCAAACTCCTTTTCAGTTTGATGTCGTAGTAATGGTGCAAAGAATCTAGATAATGTGAAAGGTAGAAAGCAAAGGCAGAGAAGGTGGGGTGGGGTGGTACTGCGATTACATTGAAAGTGGACAGATATAGATAAATGTAGAGTTGTTGATGGATGTTGGTTCATGATTTTAAAAAGGGGTTAAGTGCAGAGCCAGAGTTACCAAGAAAGAAGTATATATGTGACAGATAACCCGGCCTTCGGTGGTCGTGCTTCACTTCTCTGCTCATCCCTTTATTTTTTATAAGCTTCAGTTGCTGTGCCGTAAGATGGCTACGCGAGGCTCGTTTTTGTTCAAGCAAAGTAATCTTGTTAATTATCCCCTTTCCTGTAACTGTAAGTACTTACGTTACTTGCCTTTTGACTTTAGTTATATATGTATCTAGTTTGATTGTTGCGTTGTACAGAGACTTCTTTCCAATTTTTGTTTATAATTGTAAACGCCTGATCTTTTTTTTTTTAATTTTCCCGTATCATTTGGGAAGAATAGTCTGACGATGTCAAAATTTCAATTCTCCCTCCGGCTGTCGGTCTAAACAAGCCCATATTTTGTATAAATGTGTAGAGTGCAAAACCTTATATTTTGTATGCATTTGCACGGTAGATATTTGTATTTATACTCTTTCACTTGATCCATCAAACCATGGTTGGTCGAGCCAAACCGGACTTCAGTTGGTTATGGAGACTTTGATTCATCTGTCCACGAGTTTTCCGGGTAGGGTAATTTGAGTATTGGTTTGGACTTTGGACTGTTGAGGGACTGATTTTGGAATCCACCAGTTTAAAGTTTAAACTTGAAATAGTAAAACGAGGGCAGGCAACATTAATTGAAGGATAGGTCTATGAGTCTATCTGTCTAGGACAAGAGTCCATCAACAATTAATTAGCTAATAATTCAATGCTAGATCTCATATACAAACCTGTTGCCTCTGCCTTTCGTCTTGAAGTCCGTTACGCTAATTTGGATTGCCTAACAAGTGAGAAGCCATGTGTTCTGTTGAGTGTTGATTACTTGCTCCTTCGTCCCACCCAAAACAGTCTCCACTCTACACAGTATTCTTGTAGACATCACTTTTCAATTATTATTTGTTTCTTTTTTTTTTATATATTTACTGATTACTGTTATGGTAGTGGAGAAATGGAGACTCATCCAGATGAGACCGGATCTTTCCATATATTAGAACAGAAAACAGAAAGGACATGCATCGGTTTGGAAAATACATTATTTGGTGGGACCTATCCAAATATCTATAGGCTGCTTTTGGCAAAAAGAAAATCGGACCGTTAACAGTCATTCGTTGTGTTAGTGGGTCCCCGATCATCTTGGTTAGAATGATAAACGAGTGGATAGAAATGAGTGAGAGTGAGGGCTAGGCATGGCTGGCTTTGGGGACATAGTATGAACCGGATTTTTGAGGCCTATGTATGGTGACGGTTGGAAGCACCGTCACCGTGACCCAGTGGAGAAGCTCCATATAAGCAAGACATCTCGTTATCACATTATTAAGAAGCAAGTCTGGAAGGGACCCGGTCGTCCTCTTTGTGGGTCACAATGCTAATGGACACATTGGAAACACCTTCTCTGGCTTTCTCCTCCAAGGGGATCATCAAAAGCTTATATAGATATCATAATGCATGCCAAAAACAAAAACACAGAGAAGACAAGTGGTACACTTGCCGGAGCACTTGTGAATTGTGGGGAGGTTGAATGATGAACTTAGTGGGGGCCCAATTCCTGTGAACATGTCTTCTTCCCTCCTTCCCTCCTCTATATTATCTAAAAAAAGATATATCTCTATGTATATCTGTTTAATTTTTGGTAGTGGTTTGGTGACTGCAGATGCCCCCTCCTGGGGTACCTTTTAGGCCATCATGGGAGAGCAACACGCGTGGGGGAGAAGAAGGTGGGTGTTCAACTGTTCATATAAAGATAAGGCAACCCGGTAATTAGGGTAGCTCAGGACGGTCCATTGAGGGTTAAACTTTATTCCTCTTATTATTTTGTTTCAAATAGTCCAAAAGTAAGGTTATTAATTCAACGTTAAATAAACTCTCTTTCTCTCTCTCTCTTTATATATATATATATATATATATATACACATAAGGATTTCAATTCAATTATACATGGTATAAGGAGGAGGACAGTCAGAAAAGATAGATTTGGGTGGATAGCGACGGTTGGGCCTTTCAGAGCCATTTCCTACGAATAGGTGTCTGTGTGTGGAGGTGCAGATTCGAATAGGTTTCTGTGTGTGTATGTGAGTGAATTATAGTGTGCAATTAGGGTGCTAATTTTCTTTATATATTTGTTGTTTCCCCCTTATAATATGCGTTTGTGTTTTCTATCCATTAAATTGTTTGAAAGCGAGTCATAGGTCTTAGTGGGGTTTCACTTTCACTTTCGAATCTAAGTGTCTGTAGGACGGGGACGGACCACCCCCAGGCCCCAGCCCTACTACTATCCGAATCATAAAAAGCTTACAAACGAAAAGATCAATGTGTGTAGAGAGCGACGTCTCCCTATCCTTACTTTTAATTCTATTTCTTTTTTTTTTCTTTCTTTTCTTTTTAGAAACCAAAACTGAAAACCCCGTCACCCAAAATCCATCATCTCAATTAACATTTAACTATCAATGATCAATCCATTCCCAGGCACCACATATTCATAGTCCATAGTTCCATAGACTTATAGAATTTAGATAAGATTAAATAACTTGTCCAGTTGTCCTAGAACTAGTTAATCTCGAGAATTCCGTATATATTGGCTCGCGATAGTTGTTAGACTGGTATACGTACATGGTATACAAGAGAAGCTTTGATTAATAATTACATTATGACTACATTTGACATTTTAAAAATTCAGATAAGTCCTTAAAATAAGTTAAGGAATGCCAAATGCAGCCTAAGCACATTTAGATTTGCCTGATAAACTCTCTTGAGCCAATGGGATTTAGCCAGCGAAGTAGTTGTTAAGCTTAAGGCTGAGATTGTCCGGATACCGAAGCTTAAGCAGCTGCAAGGACTAGAGACAAAAACATATTCTATTATTAATCACCTTTGTCTTCCCCTTTTAATAATATCACTTATTATTATTGTTGTCCAAATATAGACCCAGGTTAATTAATGGTGATACAGAGAGAGAAGAAACATTCCCATAAACATGCATATGCGCGCGTGTATGGTGTATATATATATATATATATATATATATATATATATATAGCCCCTCCTTTGACATATAAATAGCTGGGCTTGCTTGAATGCTTTCTGATCTCGTAGCTATCTGTCTTCTTCATTAGTCACTTAATTCAGCTTAACTTTGTTACTGATAAACAGGAAACAAAAAAGAAAATAGACTACTTCAAATTCAATTTATTCCTGTAGTAGCACCAGTTGTCCAAGCATTAGTTATAGTAGCCTTTGTTTGCTCATCGGTCTCAAGTCTCAAATAGCTAGCTACTAGTAAAATAGAGAAGGGTTTAGTAGTGTTTGTTACTTGCTTTTTATTTTTTTTTTTAGATTATGGCTTTTGAAGAGAAGGTCAAGATAAGGAGCTACGACGGTCGAACTGATCGAGGTCGGGTGGAGGACCTGGAGCGAAGATGTGAGGTAGGGCCGGCACAGAGCGTGTTACTCTTCACGGACACGATGGGCGACCCCATCTGTAGGATTCGCAACAGCCCTCTATTCAAAATGCTGGTACCACCACCACCATTTATTCCATTCTTCTCTTTCTTTTCTCTCCGCCCACCTCCTCCGATCATATCCAAGGAATTATAATTATGACTTTCTAATCCTAATTTTACTTAATAATTAGGTGGCCGAGTTGAATAACGAGTTGGTTGGCGTCATTCAAGGCTCCATAAAGATGGTTACGTTGGCTACCCCTACCAGGGATCCTGCCGTGGTAGGTTATGTCTTGGGTCTCAGAGTTTCACCTTTCCATAGACGAAAGGGCATCGGTTCGAGCCTGGTTCGACGACTGGAGGAATGGTTCCTCTCTAATCATGTCCACTTCGCCTACATGGCCACTGAGAAGGATAACGAAGCCTCGGTGAAACTCTTCACGGAGAAGCTTGGTTTTGTCAAGTTCAGGACCCCTTCGATACTTGTGAACCCAGTGCACTATCACAGCCTGCGTATCTCGCGGGGCGTCGAGATTGCGAAGCTCAAGATGGAAGAAGCTGAGTATCTCTACAGAAGGTTCATGGGCTCAACCGACTTCTTTCCCCATGACATTGACCGAATCCTGAAGAACAAACTCAGCTTGGGTACGTGGGTGGCATACCCACGAGGCGAGTCCTGGAGTGAGTTGAGGTGTGATGGACGTCTGCCGACTAGTTGGGCCATGATGAGCGTGTGGAATAGTGGGGACCTGTTCAAGCTAAGGGTAGCGAAAGCTCCTCTCTCTTGCCACATCTATTCAAAGAGCTCGAGATTGATTGATCGGATCTTCCCTTGCTTGAGCATACCGGCACTGCCGGACGTCTTCCACCCATTTGGGTTCTACTTCATGTACGGCTTGCATGGAGAGGGACCGAGGTCTGGCGCACTGGTGCGCTCTCTGTGCCGGTTTGTGCACAACATGGCTACCGAGTGCAAGGATTGCAAGGTTATTGTCACGGAGGTAGGGGGTTGCGACGGATTGAGACCTGAAATCCCACACTGGAAATTATTATCCTGTCCCGAAGACTTGTGGTGCATAAAAGCGTTGAGGAAGGAAGATGAAAATACACTCTTGGGATTGACAAAAATCCCAACAAGAGGCCTTTTCGTCGACCCTAGAGAGGTTTGATCATTCATGGTGTTCAACGGACAAATTATCGAGTCCCCAAAGGCCTAAGGGGTCCTACTAGTACTACCCAGTACCCAACCCAACTCAATACGTTACATTTCTGTTTGCCAGCCCATCCCCATCCCAAAGACATAAACCAAACCCTCCTCGTGCGATAGTTTCCTCTTGTTTCCTTCCAATTACACGGAACACAATCTCCAGGGATTTCCTTAATGAGGTCTGCCTCGGTGGCTTCGTTCTGTAACTCCATCTTCTCTATCTTTCCCCACCCTCACTCTCACTCGTGATATGAACCACTTTGTTTCGTCGGGAGTGGTGGTCCATCTCTGCCGTGTCCTCACTACTGTACAAATTCCACTATACCCCACCACCTTCTGGCTCTCAGAATTGCCGGTGTAGTTTTAAAATAAGGTAAGGGACCTGATTATACATATATATGGTGCACATGTGAGACAAGGGAGTCATTAGGGGTCCTCTTAAGACTTGTTCTTTGCGAACGTCGAAATTTAGGAAAGTTTGTGCTTACATCAGCTTCTCCTTAATCCTTATATGGTTGATACCCTTTGTCTTCCTTTCCGTTCTCATCGCCCCTGTTGGCTGTTACTTTCCTTTCCTTCCCCCGTTACGAATTGGGCTCTGTTCCTCACTGACCGCGCCTCACAGTCACATCCCACCTTGTATTGGAATTTGGACACATCTTCCAAGTTCCAATTCCGTGAATAATAAATATAAGTGAGGAGCAGATCCGGACTCGTCGGTTACATATATCCTACGTACCATTGAGGCATCGTACGTCGCTAATCACCCCACCATTGCTTTAGTAGTAGGGGTGCGGGGGATATTTCAACCTAAGCTCGGCATCATTCCGCAGACAGACGCGAACCTGATAGCTTTCTTCAAGCCTCGAAAATGTGGATACACTCACAGTCACGGAGTTGGTTGGTATCACAAGCCGGAAGTCACTCATCGTCATCAGGACCAGATATATATGCATGGATCAACTAGGCACGCACTACCCCAAGTCGATCGATCTTCCTCCATATCAATTAACCGAGGAACCCACTCACATTCTATATTCAAATGCAACATTCGGATGATGATAATTAGGTGCATGGATGACAAGAACAAGAAGAACAACGACGGTGGCAGCGGCGACGAGGACGACGACGGCCAAGCTTGATGATGGCTCTAGAGGCTGTGGCAGGAAAGTAGGCAATAAGAAAAAGCATCCACAAGCCAACGGAAGCTTTAATAATTAATGCAATGGATCCCAATACTTGGAGTAGGGCTTTTGTCCTCCACCAAAAATAAGTTGGGCGATGGTAGGGTACAGCATCGAAACTCAAGCCAGCAACCGAATCCTTTAATTGATAGGCTTAATCCATATTTATGTTAAAAGCGGATGAATAAAACAACATCTGGAATGTGCTTCCGTCGCTTCTTTCTTTTTTGTCTCTATATAGTTCCGTTCTATTATATATAAAAATAATAGATTTTATATAATTAAAACCTAGTCCATGGATTGGTTTACCATTTAAGGCAAACTCTTAATTTTGGATTTACGTTGACATAACGGAAAAAGGAAGGCGCAATGGAGATACGGAATCCTACCCATACATACAAGTTCTCAGAACTAATTTGTTTCCAACAACCAGCAGCAGCTAGCAGCCTAATAACTTCAAATACATTAATTCCATCTGGACCCAAACATTACAAAGTACTGCTTTTCAAGTATGTGCCGCAACACTCTCCTCTAAGCTCATTGAGGTGGAGAACGGAGAACCTTCAATGATTAAAGTTTCTAATCACAATTCCACAGTTGCATTCCATGAGAAACATATGACCGGATCTGCTGAATTATAATTCTATTATTGTAACCTCGGTCGGTACTCCAATTGGGTCATGCCACGTAATCTTAATTCTAAACCCATGTGGTCATCAATACGTAGGATTTGGTACTTAACTAGAGTTTTAGAATAAAACCAACTTCCACATGGGCAAAAAATCTTATTGCTCTTAGAATTCGCTTTAGTCCATGTTTGGAAGTGCTTTTTGGCCTAAACGGGATTTTGAAAATACCATTTTTGAAACCAGCTTTTTTTTTAAAAAAAAAAAGAAAAAAGAAAACTCCCCTTGTTAATTCTTAGCTAGTCACCAACTTTTTATTTATTTGAAAATAACTTGTACATGTGAAAAAGGGTTTGCTTTTGAAGTAACATTAATTCCCAAACGACGTTGGCTTGAGTAGATTGGATCCAGAGATCATATATGCTTGATCCGGTGATAACCCCAGTTGAAACTTGAAAATAATGGCCCCAAACAGTGCTAGCTGCATGTTAATTGTTAAACTACTAAAGTTGTAAGATATATAGAACAACGCTGCTTAATAAACATGGAATTGAAAAGTAAAAGGGTGCTGGGCCATCAGGGATGGGATGGCTTGCTTCCAGCTTGGGATCATGGATTTCAATAGTTGTCATGACACTGTGTCCACAGTAATCTCACTTAACTTGTACATCTACAACAAACCACACATAGACTAAAAAATCTGTTCCATGGAAGCCTATCAATAGAGACTACTGGAAAATCCAGCCTCAGCATTGTTACAAGGAAGCCAACATATCTGTCCTTGATCTCGCAAACTTGTCCCTCGGGCAGATGCAGCGTCAACAAAGATGTTATAGCTAACCTTTTGGGTGTGCACCTAAACTAATTTGTACGCTGATGTTTATCAGGTCACAATACCCCCCAAGTTTTGTCTACGCGGCCATCATATCATATGATCATATGATGGTGTTATTTCTATTCTTTTCTTTCTTTCTTTCTTTTTATAACACATTACAGTGATAGATAAATAAATAAATATATATAGAGAGAGAGAGATGGAGACTGTGATGACAGAGCGAACAGGGTGTACATGAGTTCCTCTGACGTACGTTATCACAAAGAGCCTGCAGTTAAGTAGGTTTAATTGACCCCATATCCATATATTTGGAAGGACAAATGCCGAATGGCAATCTAAGGTAATGGGTCAACAGAAATGTAAAAATGTGCTGGTTTATATATATATATATATGAATTATTGATCATTATCCATTAATTCCTTTGAATAAACATCAATTTCTAGCCCGTCTTTAGCATCTAAACCATGTAGAACATAGTATCTTACCCATAAAAACATGCCTATGGATCTACATTTTGCGCCCTGTGAATCGAGTCACCACCGGTCTGGATCTCTTACCCACAACCACGAGAACATGAGTAGGTACGATGGGTAGGGTTCTTGTGTAGTGAGTAGGTAGGAGATTGGAACGCGTGAATTACAAAGCATGACCTAGATGGTTCATACGCTAGAAACCAATTAGGAATGATGGTCATGAGCACCAGTTGAGCATTTCTCTCTCTCTCTCTCTGTGTCGTTATCGTTGTTATTGTTCTTGTTGTCGACTTGTAATCGTTATTATTGAATGAAAAGTACATGAACACTACGCCTAGCAATAAAATCTTTAATTAGTTCCTGTGTTGGGCTGGAATAAATTAAAAGAGAAGACTTCTCAATGTACACTAATATGGATGCATGATTCTCAAATTATATTATATTAAAAGCATCAAAATCACATTGTCTTACGCTAACAATTTAAATGTACGTTAGAGTCTGTCAATAGAACATTTTCTATTGGAACGGATCTACCCAATACAAGCAAATTGGTTGTAGTAGATCTCTGTCAATGCATGGGACGGGTTTTCAATTTAAATTTAATCTTCAAGCAGATTATAGAGATTGACGGATATATAAATTAAAGCGCTTTCTCAAATTAAAGCATAAAGTTAAGCCCGATCGAGAGAAGCCATTTTTCTGCACTAAGCAACCATTTTTTCTTTTTCAACTGATCGAATTGCATTTCTGGGTCTAAGTCAAGTTGATGTAAGTATGCACATTTAATAAAGCAGCGTAAAGCCCTCTGCCATTCCTTTAAGGCTATTTTAGACATCGTGAGCCTAGAAAGGATAGGATTAATGTGCAATTAGGGTTAGGATAATCTTATATTTTCATCCATTTCCAGATACAGGGATTTTCTCCTCGTTCTTTGGGATCACAGCTGGGTTTCACGGAGCAAGACTACGTTAAGAGAAGAAATTTTAGGCTTCATTTGGATAAGCGTTTTCCTTTGAGCTATGTGCTATGGGAACAAGTAATGAATCTGAAAGTGATTTTAATGTTTAATAAGAATTGGTTTTAAAAAACATAATAATCTCAAGTAAACACCCTTTCAAGTCCCAACACATAAACCCTAAAATTAGGGTTTACGTGCTTTTCTTCATATTTCAACAAACAAGTTGGGATCTGCAGCTGATTAATTACCCATTAGTACAGCTGTGAGATCTCCATTGGATGCCCTAATAAGTAGCCACACGCCCTCCCTCCGGCCTCCACTCACTGTGAGTCTCAGCTATGAAACTGCTGTTGTGTACGTGGGTTAAATTGAAATAAACCCTTCTTGACCATTATTTGGATTAGAAGTAAATCGAAGCTTACAACAGCTAATATTGACCGAGAAAAGTTGTTTTTTACTTTTTTTACAGCCGGGAGGGCTGAGCATCAATGATCATTTCATTGCACCAGCAAGTTCAGTTTCTATTCGGAGAACGACCCATCCCAAAGAATGAGTAGTTTAGAGACTGAAAACCGTTTAGAATAAGTAGAGGGCTTCTGATGAAACACTGAAAACCGTTTAGAATAAGTAGAGGGCTTCTGATGAAACACTGAAAAGCGTTTAGAAGTGTAAAACATGGACCTCCTTAGTTTAGAGATTGATCCTTTCTTTTTTGGGTAGAAAGAGACTGACCCCACCAATCCGCCCACTTAACCCGCCAATCCTTTAAGGCCCCGTTCGTCCAAGGTAAGTGCATTTACCCATTTTCTTTTATTTCTCATGTAAATAAGGCAATGTCCATTTTAGTCATAAAAACTCATTATTAAAAAGGGCATTTTTGTCCCATTCAAGTGTTGGGTATCACTTACCCGGGTATGTGGTACCAGGAAAATAAACTTTCCCTGCTTCCTACATATATCTGAAAAAAGAGCATGGGATTCTTGGTTTTCCCATTGACCAACTTTCCTCCTCTCAAAATCCGAAAAAAAAAACGCCCCCTAAATACCTAATTAAATAGAATCAACCAAGTTAAATTGGTCTCTACCTTACCCAAACCCAAGATGTGCATGTCAATAATCTTGGAAATTAAATAGTCTTTGGTTAGGGTTTGGTATCTCCGGTGGACTCAATTTGGTAAGTTTAAGATTATTCTAATGAATTTCGACAAGTTCAAAAGATCAAAAACTGGTCCTTTTCTGTTTAGTAATCAAAGGATAAAAAGATGAGAGGACACACGCACAGAAAGACCCAAAAAGACAAAATGTCAAATTTTGGGAGGTTTTAAATAAATATTTTTTGTTTTTCTTCACAATAGATAGCCTCTAAACACATTTTTAAAAGAATGGTAGACCGAGCCATTTACTAAATGGTTTTTATCTTTATAGAAAGGACCCCAAAAGGTCAATGTCTTTTGGTCAACACGCGTGGATGTTAAGACCTGAAATGACCGAAAATACCAAATTTCGAGAAGCTTTAAATGGAACTTTCTGATTATTCCTCACAATAGATAGACTCTAAATGTGTTTTTAAAAGTCTGATAAACCGAATCACTTATTTATTATTAAAGACAAGACCCCAAAAACTCAATATCTTTTGGTCATGTGAACTGCTAAAAGATCTTTATAAAAACACTTGCTAAACGTCACCTAAAAAAACACCCACGGCCCATATGTGGACCCATTATCGACAGCATCTGGTTTACACTTTGTTGTTGGCTCATTAGATGGTATGTTTCCTCCTGGGAGGGCTAAATTTTACCAAATTTAGAGAAAGTCAGTAGACGTGCGGTGGTCATGTAAAGACAAGGTGGGAGTAGGGACGCCGAGTCTTTAGTTTGGGCCATTGATTAAGCATCCAAAACGGATGGCAAACAGACCTTTGCGCACTTGATTAACAATTAATGGTTTTTTTGTTTGCTTTTAATTGTTTAATTTTTTTGTTAAGCAACACTGCATACAAGGCACTCATTTTTGCACTCTTCTCAAAATGAGAGTAATCAAATACAAAGACAAGGTTAAACAGACCACTCAAATATATTTTGTATGCATGATAATACAATATCTGAAAGAAAATCGCCAGTAATTAGAATATAAGGCTGTGTATTGGTTGCAGTGTAAATTTATTTGCATTAGTATAAATGCATGGGAGTGTAAATGTAAAAAATGCAAATTTTTGTTTAATTTTATTTTATTTTGTTTTATGTCTTAATTCACTTCATTTATACTGCAATCAAATAAAATAAATTAAAATTTAAAACGAAAATAGGTCAAAATTTACACTTAAATCATTTACACTGCCA